ATATATATAATATATATATATATCTATATCTCAATCAGACTTATCGCATATGTGAACATGTGATTTTACCTCGTCTTCTTCTTCATCTTGTACAGATTTATAGCGGTGGACAGCTCCAACACTTCATTGATGGCTACGATGTCCACAGGAGCAATTGGATGCGCTACGTCAACCCTGCCCGCTCTCTTGCCGAACAGAACCTGGTGGCATGCCAGAATGGACGGGACATTTACTTCTACACCATCCGCCCTGTGGAGCCCAAACAGGAATTGCTGGTCTGGTACAGTCAGGAGTTCGCCCAGAGGCTCTGCGGCCAGCAAGACGATATCAAACAGAGTGAGTGCAGCAGGAGTGTAAAATCTTTCTACACAGGACACTGATAGTTTTCCTTTGTAGAACTTACAGTGGACAAGCTTAACTAATATGCTGAACCACCGGAAGCAAACCGCACTGTCCCTTATTACTTCCTGAGATGTACGTTGTTGAAAGTATAGTATAGTGGCTGATTTGTGTTTTGATTTGGCCTTTACTTTAAAAACTTTTTAGCGGGCCTATGTTTCATATAAAGAAGTGAAAGGAAGTTGATTACCAGCTGTAGCGGCGACGCAGGACAATGACTTGAAAATGACTTTGGTATATTTAGGCACAATATCCAATAAAGTGACAGATTTAGATCAGTGCAATGAGTAAACAAGTGTCACGAAGACTGTGCGATAACTCTTATCAGTGAAATTCTTTCACTTCAAAGTGAATGAAGACACGTTATTCCATTCCTTTTAAAAAAGGCCTGATGTTATCTCTTTTACCAACAAACAAGTTAGCTGATTTGATTCTTTTTCTTTCTGTTTGACTTATACAATAGTGGGCTGAGTTTTAAAAAGATCATGGGGAATGTATGAGCCACACGCAGACGAAGCACATCTCCGCCTTTTGTGAGATGTTTGTTATTCATTGTAGGATTGCAGGAAAGCAAAAGTAATCTCAGGTGTATAATGGCTGGTCAAAGTACCTTAGTGAGTCACCGGTTTTCAACTATTAGTAGAACATCAGGTCTTTCCCTCATCACCATAAGAGACGAGGGTAAGTCTGGTGATTCATTCCAACTGGATACACAAACCTTGTCGCTGTTCTTCTTGGTGACTAATGCTAAGGCAAGGCAAGGTATTATTGCCTTATTTTATCATCTTAGGTATCTTGAAAGCATTTACCTTCCTTTTAGTCACAGGCCAGGACTGTTAAGTGTTGCGTGCTAGATATTCCGGGACTTGATTAAACGTATGCAATCAAGTTTGACAGCTAGTTTTCTGGAACTGGTTGCCTATGCTTTCTGGCATTAATGAAATGCACAGAATGCTAAAAATTTCTCAAGGCCATTTTAATCAGCTTGTTTTTAAAGTACAATACAAGCTGATCTATAAAGCTTTTGTCTCTATAAGCTGATGCCTTCTAATTTGCGTTTTATTGATGTAAAACACTATAAACACTTTGGCAAATTGTTGATAATAAAGTTATGCAAAGGAGCCGTATGAGTCACTCATACTTTAAGTATAACTCACATAGTGAAATCTTGCAATAGCTGAGAAGGGCTAATTTGGACAAATAACATGCGTGGAAATGCCATCTCAAAACAAAGAAAGCAAAGGAAAAAAGGAAGAGACGATTCTTTCTTTTTTTGTGTGGTCTGTACGGTAAGACAGCTGCTGTATACCCAGAAAAGGTTTTACAAACGAAACTCACAGTCTTGCTGCCCATACATGACACATACAGACTCCCCCTCACTTTACCACCAACTCTTTCTCCCACACCAAAAGAACTTCAGTGATTGCCGAACAGAAACCTGTCATCTATGATTTACACATCATGTCAAAACCGAAACTACTATCATTTACCATATGAAGAAGCACCTTCTGTGGGTGGATGTCCCATAATGCCTGTAAAACATGTTTGACTTACACAATGAGCATTATATTAAACTGACTGCCTACTTTTTTGCCCTCTGTTTGATGTGGTGATTTCATCACACACTGTTAAAAAGCTAAATGCTTGTATTTATTTTTCTGTGACAGAATACACGAGTAACAATGAAGACCAAGAGCATGAGTATGTGAAACAGCACTTACCTCAGCAGACGTGGCTTAAAGAAACAGCAAAGGAAGGGGTAAAAGAAGGGAAGGACAGTGACGCAGAAGAAAAGATTGATGTGGAGATGTTGGAGAGAGACACTCCACCTGACACACCTGATGACCAGATTATTGACTTCAGCAAAAAAGATGAGCAGGACGATAAGGATCCAGAAGGAAGGGGCATCATTCCTTCCCCTCAGCTGGAGCACAGAGAGCCCAGTCTGGGTCTAAATCATCCTTACTTGCCAGATCACTACTCTACATTCCCAGCTCCACACAGGAATCTTCCTCTTCACCTCCACGGGCTCTATGGGCACAGAGAAGGCCTGGTGTCATCTTACCCCCCATTACAGTCCAGACCTCTCCAGCCTTCTTATCAATTCCTTCCTCCCTACAACCCACATTATCCTCGCCTCCTGCTCCCCCCATACTCTCCTCCCTTTCATGGGATGCTGTCATCGAGAGGCTCGCTCCAATACAGCGGCTACCTCGGCGCTGACGGACTCCCGTATCCCCCTATCGGCGCACCTAATCTTCTTCCAGTGTCTCTCTCCTACACCCCATCTCCACAAGGAGGTCTGAAAGAGCTAACACCAAATATTTCCCCACCGAGAGGAGCCCCAGCCACTCCAGAGCTCTCCCCTCCCGCCAAGCCCAACAGCCACTATCAGTCCCCTGAGCAGTCCCCCTCTGGCTGTGAGGAGGCTATGAACCTAAGCCTGGCTACAACCAAAAGCAGCACTGCACCACGCAATGGGCCTGGTCACAAATCCCTGCCCTATCCACTGAAGAAGCAGAATGGAAAGATCAAGTATGAATGTAATATCTGCTCAAAGACCTTCGGACAGCTGTCAAACCTCAAGGTAACAACATTAACTTCATTTCAATAACTTCCTATTTTTTTTAAGCTAAACTTTACACTTATTACTGTTGTTCCTCAATACTCATGACTTCTCTTTGTATAATTTCTATCATTTGTCTCTAGGTTCACCTCCGAGTGCACAGTGGCGAGAGACCATTCCAGTGTAACCTATGTAAAAAGAGTTTCACTCAGCTTGCCCACCTACAGAAACATCACCTGGTCCACACGGGAGAGAAACCACATGAATGTCAGGTATGTTGATAATCCTAACCTTTGTGTGTTTTTTTTATCTTCCTTTTTACGTGCTTCATATGCAAGCTCTTTACTCAGAAAATGTTACTGTTTATTGTTTAAACCCGAGTCTTCACTTAAGAAATGTTGATGTAAAACCGAGAGTATGAGAGACACAGAGAAACTCAGTGTGTACACAAAACAGGTAACCGCTTTCTGACTCACATACCTTTCTGGTAATGCAGTGTCTATTTGATTTTCACCGAGCCACAACCCAGTTTGTCATGCGACAGCATCTTTATGCTTTTGTTTGCTTATGTGACACTGTGGGTGTGAAGTTTGTTGGATGGAGCTAGTTTTACCCAGAGAACTGGAATAACATGATCAATCCCGATACCATAATATGACATCATTTATCAAAGTTGAACCTAAACACAACTAGGTGGTTCACTTTAGAATCAGTCATGTGTACGTTACTCACAGAAGTGCTGACCTTTCACACCATGTGTTTCAGGTGTGCCACAAGCGCTTCAGCAGCACCAGCAACTTGAAGACGCATCTACGACTACACTCTGGGGAAAAGCCTTACCAGTGCAAGCTGTGCAACACCAAGTTCACGCAGTACATCCACCTCAAGCTGCACCGCCGTCTCCACAGCAGCCGCGACCGTCCCTACCGCTGCCAGCTCTGCGCCCAGGCCTTTTTCCACCATTTCTCTCTCTGCATCCACCAGCGCAGCACCTGCCCAGCTAACTCCAGCATGCCTGCCAATGTGCACATGAAAGAGATGGTGGAGCGGTTTGATGCCAGCCAAGAGGCAGACGCGCTCACAGAAGCAGCATCAGCGTCTCAGGTTGGGGAAGCCGTCGAGCACTGGCTGGCTCGTACCTTAGAAGGTGAAGGAAAAGAAGACCAGAAGGAAGCCACCGTGCTGCTAAAAGCTCTGACTGCAGCTATTAATGCACCACTGACACCCATGACCCAATCGGCACCACACCACAATCCCCCTCTCGCCTACCAGGAGAGGGCAAGCGTTGTTCATCTCCACAAACGGCCATCTGTGAAAACAGAAGGACAGTGAAAAGGAATATAAAGTTGAACATACAGCATATAATCTACCAAGAATATGAGTGTCACCAAATGAAATCTCCTATTGTGCCATACGAGGCATAACAAGGAATATTAACTTACCCAATCCAATGAGCACAACACCAAAAGAAGAGCATTCCAAAGACTGGGTGATAGTATTCAGTGATTGTACTTTCTCCCAAACCTCAGTTAAAAAAGATAAACATGGGAGGTGTTGTTAAGCTGTGAAGTATTTAAAAACCCTTTTACTCAGGTAGACGATTGTTTTTTTGTGCTTTAACTTATTCCTTTTTTTAAATGCCATCAGCGTTATTTATTTAGTTGTCTCTTAGTTTGTTTTTTTCTAGTAGTATTATTTTTGTGTGTTTGCGTCTGTGTGTTGACGTTTCCAAAGAGATTTTGAGCTCTTGGTAAGACCGCAAATGGACTCAGGAACAACAACGTGGCACGAACCTATGGATGAGCCTTCACTTGTTATATTGTACTGTGTGCGTTATTTTACTTTGTCAATCAAAGGCAGGACGCAGTGATAGCACAAACCAGCTCCTAATATTATCTGCGATTGTCTTATTTATTTATGATAAAGGGAAACTTGATGTGTCCTGAAACTGCTGGGAATAAGCATTTGCCAAAATTACAATCAAAAAACATGAATATGTAGCAATATTTTCACATGGTTATTTAACTCATTTTTCCATTCTAAAGAGATTCAGTCAAAGCATTATTCACCTTTTCGATGATTACTTGCCAACTTGGATATCAAAGACACACCGTCCTGATCAAACCATAATGTAGCCAAAAGAAACAAAAGACAAGATTCAGTGTAAACAGTTATTTAAACAGGTTCCTCTGGAAACAAAGAGGTTTCATCTTTCTTACAGCTTTTTGTTGGATTCAAACGTTTTACATGTCTCTTACACAAAAGTTTCACTCCAGATGTTACTGCAAAAAAAAAAAAGAAAAAGAAAAAGAAAAAGAGCTTCATCCAAATCTTAACTGAAACACCGGTACCTCATTCAGCAATACAAAAAAAACAAACAAAAAAAAAAACTATGTGCAAACAAAGGGGCACAATTTTCCAGCTTTTTAATACTTTTGTATTGTGGCACTGTAATAATAAAGCAGCAATATCTGTATGCTTTTGCCTAAAGGTAACTAGGAACCATTCTTTAAAACTTTTACTATTGAGTAATATACTTTTCTTTGTTTTTAGTGCTTTAACTGTACAGTATGTTTGTTTATGTAGTTTGTTTTTGCAAACAAGTTATGATATGTTAAGAATTTATATGTGAGAGACTATTTTGATGATACTTTTATATTTACATGATGTAGCACATTAAAGCTATTGTTTCTATACATCTCGTGTTTTCAAGTGCATTCATGCCAGGATAGCAAATTTGTGTGTGACTGCTTTTGAAATCCAGTGATCGATTGGGCTTTCTGTGATAACGCATCAATACACACAATGCAATTGCCAGATTTGACAAACACCAAAAAGGTCACATGAAACTGGTCAAAACATAACTTCAGATAATGATGAGACAACTATAAACAGGAGTGCTGCCGAATTTCAGACAGGTATTTATTTAGCTTTTAACGCCTGAGTCATGTAGCTGCAGGGCAAATTTGCTTGCGTTTGTGTATTTGCACTGTTTTCTTAGCACGCTGTGCCTCAACGCTCTTGGCCAGTGATCTAGAAATACAAATGCATTCTTCTCTCTTCAAGTTAATCTGATAAGAATTGAATCCATTTAATCAAAATAATTTAAAAAACTGAGATCATTGTCTAGTTTTGGAACAGTGTTATCTGTTTGGAGACATTTGACCTGTTTTACAGGTTTATTTTTACTCAAAAGTGACTTCCATTCACTGTGTCTTACTGAAAATTCACTTTGCACAGTCCCAGAAGTCTAAAAAGTTTTTTGTGGGAATGTATTTTAATGTTTAAATTCCTAAATTGTGTACACCCATATTCACTCGCTAGTAATCTGATTTAGCACAGGTTTTCTATCAGGTGACTTTCCTGATGCAACTGGCCCCTTTATCCAGGCTTTGAATGAGCATTAATGTTTAAAAAAAAGAGCAATAAATAAAGATGAACAGGTATAAAATCATGCCCTACTGACCAATCTGTTCTCTTGAAAACAGTATCGCCCTTACTGAATGATCCCTGAGACCTCTGTGCACAGCTAGTATAGGGTAAAGATTTTTATTGCCATACCCCACCTTTATTTATAAAAAAAAGAAAAAAAAGATAAAACTAGGATTCACAAAGTGCTGTAGATATACAAATAGCATAAATCAAACCATGTTAAAAATAGAGAATTAGAAAAAATTAAGTCAAAGGCAAAAGATCTAGTCTTTGTATTTCCCTCATGAGCATCTATATTAAATATAAATTATTTATTAAATATAGATCCTTGTGCAAATTGGTTGCAAACAATTTTACAATTAAAATGTTCTATGTAAATAAATATATAATCCTAAAACAAAACACCTATTTGTATTCAATTTTCACATAGAGTAAGCTTACACTGGAATTCTGTTTTTATGTTTACTCTTCACTGTCTCTCGGATAATCAAGCACAGCTGGGCTCCAAATGAAAGAATAAAAACTAAAAATGTCTTTCAAACATTAATTTAATAAAATAGTTATAATAATGAGATTATCTTTAAGTGATACTGATAAGTCAATAAATATATAGTAACAGTTTTCCAGTCTTAGTAGACAAAATGTTTGAAGCACACAGACAGTCATATGGGCTTTTAACACTAAACAAATCTCACACTGTTACTTTGTCTGCAGCACCTGTGTCACTTTCATTCTTTATTATGTGCTTAACCTCTAATATAGTTTTACCTTTCTTTTTAAAATCATCCAGGACACTCATCCATAATTGGTTAGATGCGGTTTAATGTAAAAACCAGAGTTAACTTAGGGAGCTAGTAATCAGCTTTGTGTGACCCCTTATCCTAACTGCCAATGTGAGTCTAGATACCAGACAGACAACCCAGGCATGCTGAACTCAAACAAAAAGACTGGGCCTTTTAAATCCTTTCCTTCTTTTTTAATCTTACTATTTTTATTATGTGACTATTAGCAACTTTTTTCCTGTTAAAATAGCAATAGAATTATAGCCAAAAATATCGGCCAAATAGCCAAGTGAAAATCCTGACACAACCTTTTTTGATATGCACCAGCAACTAGAAGTCATGATGATGTTACCAAGTTTGTTTGTCATAGATGGCAACACAATGCAACATCCTGCTTACTGCCATTCATTTGACAGCAGTACACTCTTTCCAAGAAAGTAAAGGAAATTAAGTCACTCAGTCACCAGTGAAAAAAGTGTGCTTAGATCACAATGTTACAATATTACAAAATTACAGAGTCTCACAACACATTCTCCTATTATGGAGTTCTTTGTTGCTGTGTTACTGTCAAGAGCTCACAGTGTTTAATGGGAAGAGGTGAGTAACACTGTGAATCACAGAAGCATCACTTATAAATGTAAGGTACGTATATTTGTGCTTGCTTTCACAGCTTTGTTCGGATAAAGCAAGTCGTTTTTATTGCAATTTTTGTGTTTTGGTATGATTAGGTTTAGGTAAGTCCATTTCTTTTCATTTGCAGGTTGGTTCGACTGACTCACAGAATCATGTGAAATCTTTCCAAAATGGATGTGACTCATTATCCTGATGTTCTGGTTATTTAATGTATTTTTACAAGCCCAAATTTTAAAAAAACTACTAAGAAACACTGCAGGCCTTGACTTGTTATTGCCCGACTTTGCAAAAAAAGCATGATCTAGATTTATTACGCATTAAGTTGTACTAAAATAGAGTTCCAAATTAAAACCCAGTGTTTAGAACCTACTTTGGGAAGCGTCTGACATCCAAGACCACTGCTGTTTTTACTACTGAAATTGATATTTAACTGTCGTGAATGCCCAGAATTGGCAAATGTTTTTACCCCAGTACTGTACTTAAAAGAACACCAAACCCCAATATAATTCTCTTACTTGATCGCTGTCTCTCCATGGCAATGAGACAGTTTCAATCAAACTAAACTTTAAAGTTACTGTAAATATGGTTTGCTCATTACAGTAATTGTATTAGGTATTTCTTGATCTGTCTCTCTTAACCGCTTTCTTTTTCTTTTTGCTGTGCAGTGACTTCTCATTCTGTAGTGTTTTCTGGTTGTCATCTCTGCTGTGGGGGAGAACCCCACAGAAAACACCTACACACCGCTGACCAGAATAAAAACACTCTCAGACCTTTAATGTGAGCAAACCACCATGGTGACAGGAAACCCTACTGTTCTGGCAAGCTGCCAGCTACATATTCATGTTACTGTGCAAGTGAGCAATAGATGCAGAAGGTGCTCTCAGAATTTGGAAAAAAAAAAAAGCCCCATTGTAATGTTTTTTATGAAAAGAAGGGAAAAAAATAACATGTAGACTAGGTCCTTATCACATAGAAATAGTTGGGTCTCTCTCTCTCATTACAGCTGTTATACACATTTTTTTAAAACATATACAGACTATCTGTATATATGTATGTAAAATCAATTCTCATAGCATTACAGCTTCATATGAAATCATTTTACTGTCGGTACTTCTAGCTACTTTACCCTAATGTGAAACTATTTTAAAGAGACTGTTGAATGTTGATGTCAAGCCTAGGCCTTTGTATAGTTACGTGAATGAGTAATAACACCCTTCATCAAAACTAAAGTTTAGCATATCACAGCACAGTAAAATAAAATAAAAAATGATCTGGTCTATGACAAATCTTAAAATTAGATGACCTCAGATGAGCAACAACACATAACATTTAAAAACACGATATTACTTATTCAATAAAAACTAAGCCAACGGCAGTGTGAAAAAGTATACTAATCACCTTTGGCAGCAATAACTTGAACTAATTGTTTTCACTATGACTTCATCAATCTCTCAAATCATTGCGGAGGAATCGTGGCCAACTCTTCTTCTCAGGATTGTTTCAGTTCAGTGAGGTTTACTGCCATTTTTTATGCATGGCAGTCAAAATTCCACCACAGCATTTAGATCAGGTTGAGGTCTGGACTTTGACCGGGTCATTGCAACACCTTGATTCTTTTCTTTTTTAGCCATTCTGTTGGAGACTTGCTGGGCTGATGGTCCTAATGCATGCTAAGCTTTAGCTAGAAACATGGCTTTGCATTTGACATTGGAAAACGCTGATATACAGATGAGTTCATACTTCACTCGATGACTGTAAGGTACCTGTATCCTGTGGCTGCAAAACAAGCCCAAATCATCACCCCTC